ATGGACTTGCTCCTAAAACTTTAACCTGGGACGCCGACGCTAACGCCGACGCCAACACCGGGGGTATAGCATAAGCTCATCTCGACTTCATCGAGGTGAGCTAAAAATCAAAGGTGTGTGGTTCTCTTGTTCATATATCTCCTCTGTCTAATTCTTTTAGCACTTCTACGTTATTTATTTATTTCTAAAAACCATGAAAAAGATCGTCTTTTTTCTACTAATCCGAATTTCCTCTATCCCGATTTTATTTTCATTAATTGATTAAATTATTTCCAACTACTCAACTATATAACTGAAGAGTAAATATATACAAGGGTTATCAAAAATATATTAACATTGTATCTGAAGATTTGAATTTAAAAAAAAAAAATCACTAAGCTTTCACTTCATTTTCGAAGAGGAAGTCCAATGATCAGAAAAAAAGATGAATGTATACTACCATATTAAAGGTATCTATAGCATGATTGTTCATTCTATTAAATTCAACCTTAAGGTATGTCACTCGTGAAATTTGTTATATCAAGGATTTTTTGAGAAGTATATTTTGGATAAGTACTCATATAGTACGACTCAAAATTGCAGAGAAAATGGGGGGTCAGTGTGCATCTAACTGAGCTACGGTACAATTAAGTTGACCTTTTTGCACTTAAATTGTAACTTTTTGGTTAATCACTTTAACCGTTATCATATTTTATCAGATGTAACCATGGCAATAAACATAATCTTATTTTACGTAAAATAGTTTGAATAATATTTATCATTGAACAAATCATACAAATTAATGCGCGTAAATTATTGTGTGACCTTTATGCACTAAAAAAGTCTCATATTTGGGGTATTAAAAATCTAAACAGGCAATAGAATATTTTCTTGTATCAAACTTTTTACAACTTAAGTGCCGATCGGTCAAAAGTGTCGAGTAGTTTAAAATGATGAAAGAAAAAGTTGGGGTCAGTGATGTAAATTTTGAAATATTGGTCAAAATATGTGATTTTCTGGCAAAAAACTGTGTAAATTTTATCTTAACTTCTTTAATATATCTTCATTTCTTGGCAAAGTTTGTTGAGCGAAGGTGTAAATTTTGTTATAAAAATATAAATTGAGACCTATATATATAATATTCCAGGCATATCATAATGGAAAATTTTCTCTGAGTAAAAGTATATAAGGCTAAAGTTCCAAGATATTAAATTTAGTAAATGCATAGATTTGCAGAATTTTCTGCTAAATATCCTTCCACCACAAGAAATAGTCCCTTATAAATCTTGCTTCTATATGAATATTTGAGCAGTTTTTTAATTGAATGTTGAACATTTTACATTGTTTAATTTAAATATGTTATAAAGATTGAATTGTAATAAATAGTTTTTAAGTAAGAGGTTCTGACTAAACTTTTCTAAAAGGCTGACGAGTGACATACCTTAAGAGGGCAGATTGGGGTCTTCATTGCGCAATACTTCGCAGAGCATAGTAAAATAAAGCGTATTTACTTTTTGAAAGCAACTTTTTAAAAATAATTTACAAAGATTAACAAATTTAAGAAATCTCAGGTTAAAAAATCTTATTATGTTTTTAAATAACTGATTTTTTAAATGATTTTTCAAATGATGGCCCGGGGTAGATAGATGTCGTAAAGACGTCGTAATAGTGTGTTTTTGACGTTATGAATAACCGAAGTTCTTTAAGCAGGGTCATTAATTATGCCAAAAAATAAAAAGTATAAAATATATGCTCTTGAAATTTAAAACATAGGAAATTGAGAAGTTAACAATCATTTTTATCATTTTTTATGTAAATCTTTGGTATCTGTCATGTTTTGTTTCACTCCATAAAAACAGGAAAATATCATGAATTTTGACATTTTGAGATGCTCCCTCTGGAAACCAGATGCTAGAATTTTGTGTTTCTTGCAAAAAATGTACAATATAGTATCATCCATCAAATAATATACTTTGAGCAAAACGTCTACAGTAGCATTTGTATAATTTGCTCTGAAGTGTGAAAAAATGGTATTTTCCTATATAATCCTATTGTAAATGTACCTGTATTTTGAGATGGTCCCTAAAAAATAACCAGATAGTAGACTTTCACTAAACTTGGCATGTATACTGAAGTCAGTGTAAGGTACATATAGTATGAAATATATGGAGATAACGAACAGTATTCAAGCTCAAAAGTCCATTAAACAATACAAAATAGGAGCAGAGCAAACACTGACCTCCAAAACATCAAAGGTGGGATCAGGTGCCATGGAGGAGTGAGCATCCCCTGCCGACCGGTCACAACTGCCGTGTGCTCCTTGTCATGATTGGGAAATAACAGAAAAATCCGTCGAAAATTCAGTGTGTTAATAATGGCCTAACAATTAGTATGAAAAACATCAGTCTGCATTTGACTCAAAGATAAACTGTATTTGCTGATAAGGTCATTGTATCCACAATAGTATAAAATTAAAGAGTTTCTCAATAGTAGTTTTTGTACAATAAAACCCCAGTCGGCTCCCTTAAATAATTTCTCTGTTTATTTATCTATTATTGACTATGAGAAAATAAGCAGAAGAAATATGAAATGAAGAGTAATTGAATATGAAATGGAATAAAATAATACAACAAAAAGTTTCAAATTTTATTATTTTTCTGGGTTAGTAGAAATTTTACTTTAGCTAGTAAAAATGTTAAATCCACTAGCCTTACTTGTTAGTGTCTCAGAAAAGTTTTTGTGAAGACTGAACTCAAGGAGTTTAATCAGTTTTTAAAGCAAAGGTTATTATTTTTCATTTATAATGAGAAATATTTACACTGTTTTAGGTTAAATTGAACCAAATTTAAAAAAAAACGAACTGTATCATTCTGAACCGAAACTGAACCGAATCGATTGAACCCTGAATCATCCCAGCCCTACTATACAAAACTTTGATTGACTTTTATGACCCCATCCAATATACAGGGCTCTGGTTTGAAAAAAATCTTAATCTACACTATCAGGGATGATTCCACATCAATATGATCCATCATGGCATTCCTGCTCTCGAGAAGAGGAATTTTGAGGTTTTTTTCCCCTATATAATCCTATGTAAAACTTTGATTTCCTATTGTGGCCCCATCCTACCCCAGTGGCCATGTTTTGAACAATTTAAAATCTGCACTTCTTTAGGAAGCTTCCACTTAAGTTTCATCTTTTCTGGTCAAGTGGTTCTGGAGAAAAAGATTTTTAAAGATTTTTTCAGAATATGTCAATGTAAAACTTTGATTTCCTATTGTGGCCCCACCCCACCCTCAGAGTGCCATGTTTGGATTACTTTAAGATCTACACTTCCTTAAGATGCTTTCACTTAAGTTTCTCCTTTTCTGGTTATGTGTTTTTTGAGAAAAAGCTTTTTTAAAAAAATTTCTTGTATATTTCAATGTAAAACTTTGATTCCCTAATGTGGCCCCATCCTTTCTGTGGGCCATGATTTCAACAATTTGGAGTCTAAACTTCCTTAGGAAGTTTCATCATAAGTTTCAACTTTTCTGGCTAAGTGGTTCTTGAGAACATGATTTTTAAAGATTTTTCCATTGTATTTCATTGTAAAACTTTGATTCCCTACTGTGGCCCCACCCTACCCCCAATCTACTCCATCTAAGGAAGCTTTTACATAAGTTTCAGCTTTACTGGCCCAGTGGTTCTTGAGAAGAAGATTTTTTAAGATTTTTTCTAAATATATTTCAATGTAAAACTTTGATTCTTTATTATGGCCCAACCATACCCCCAGGGGCCACTTTCACCCCACTGTTCTGCACCAGATTTTCCCAAAATATATAGACATTCATTCCTGAGTAAAACTTTGATCGCCTTTGTTGCCCCACCCTATTCACAGTTTTTTTTTTTATTTTTTAGATTTTTCCAAATCTACACCCATGTAAAACTTTGATTCCTTATTGTAGACCCACCTTACCCCTGGGGGCCATGATATCTATACTATCTCAAGAAGCTTTTACATAAGTTTCAGCTTTTCTGGCCCAGTGGTTCTTAAGAAGATTTCCAAAGATTTTCTTATATATATTTCAGTGTAAAATTTGATTCCCTATTATGGCTTCACCCTATCCCCAGGGGCCATGATTTGAAGAATTTAGAATTTAATCTACCTAAGAAAGCTTTTACATAAGTTTCAGCTTTTCTAGCCAAGTGGTTCTTGAGTAGAAGATTTTTTTAATGACCCCACCCTATTTTGCCTTTTCTTGATTATCCCCCCTTGGAAGGGACTTGGCCCTTCATTTGAATAATTTAGTATCACCTTTAACCAAGGATGTTTTGTGCCAACTTTGGTTAAAATTGGCTTAGTGGTTCTTGAGAAGAAGTTGCAAAAGTTAAAAGTTTACAGATGAACGGAAGGATAGATGAACGTCAGACAACGTGTGGTCAGAAAAGCTCACTTGAGCTTTCAGCTCAACTAAGCTAAAAACAGGAAGTAGAACATTTCAGGGACTGTGTATTGTGATGACCATTTTTCCATATATGACCAACTAAGCATACACCTAAGAATAAAGGTTGAAACTCATATAGTGATGCAAACAATTTGCTTGTGAGCTGATCATTAGTAAAGATGATTTTGTAAGATAAAATGCATTAATGGTTTTTAATATATGATCAGCTTAGCCCAGCCATGGAGACTGAGCCACTCAGAACCCAAGGGGCCATGAATTTCATAATTTTCCTGGAGGGCTTGTTGCTTCAGAGAAGAAGGCAAACAGTTGACTGCTTCATCATATTGATGATTTTATGACTTTGAAGGTTTTGGCCCTACCCCTCAAGCCCTAGTAAGACATGAGACACCACAAAATTCAATTGCGAGAAGAAAACGAAAATGTACAAAAGTCTACAAATGATGATGACGACAACAATGGACAAAAGGTCACCTGAATGACTCAGCTCAGCTAAAAAAGAATGTCAAATGCACAAATTTCAAATATGACAGTATATAAGTAAAGTGTCATTCTATTTTAGATCAAGAAACTTACATTCCATGTGTATGTGATAGATGAATCAACTAAAGATGATGTTAACTCTGCCTCCTCCTTGGAATCTGTTTTTTTCTCCAATATATCCAACTTAGTATTAAGAGTCCCTAAAATAAAAAGTAAACTATAAAACTGACTGGGCTATTAAAGGACTTCGAAAATAAACATTCAGATATACATACAGTGATTCATTTTGAAAATGGTTATCATGGGTCCAAAGGACCCCTCTGAATGAAAATAATGAGACCCATGTCAAAATCAATGTGTCCAAAACCAAGGCCTTAGGGTACCGCATATTAAATACTACAGAGGAAATTCTGGTGAAATATAAATGGATATTGCATGAAAGTGCAAATTTTTTATTGTAGCTGTGAATGGTCTATACTTTGACTATTGAATTGAAAGTAAGAATACATGATTTTGTGGCATAAAAATAATATGTTGTCAACTGTGCACCTTGTTTCTATTTTTAGATCATAACTACAATCTTTGTCATAAAAAGCACAGAAGCAGATCAGTTATTGAATTAAATAAAGTAAAGAAAGTTTTTTAAAAAATGAAAAATAGTCAGAAAGAAAAATGATCGTATATTATACATGTACATCTTGGCTTCTAAGGAAAAAGTTAAAATACATAGGTTAAATTACATCTTAAATACAAAGGTATAGCCTAGTACACGCAGGGACCTATATAGTTAGTATATAGGTCCCTGGTACACATAATGCTTCAGAAATGTTCTACAGTAGACATAATCAAACAATGCTATCTTACTTCTAAATATTTTCTGATAATTGCTTGTTATAAACAATTTAACAGTGAATTGTGAAATCTGACCTGTTGTTGGCAAACTTATACCTGTTATAATCACTAATGCATATCGCTTAGTGTGGAAATGATGCAATCAGTCAAGTTTTGAATCAGATTATATGGAAACAATTTAAAATAATAAATGTCTTTCTATAAATTCATTGCGTCCAATGGGATGCACGTTTATTTAAATGATGCGTCCTGGGAAAAATTTGGGCGTAATTTATGCAGGACGCACACCAAAATGAATCACTGACATACAGACAAAGTGATATGACCCTTAAATTTACAACAGCTTTTCTCTTAAACTACAGTTCTCCTACACAAAATTTGAAAACATTATGTTGGAAACTGTTAAGTTATTGAATTACACTAAAAGTGTCAAGGATATACTTTCTGTTACAGCAAATTAACATTACACAAAACATTTTTTCCGGATTTAGCTTGAATGTTACATTTTTCCGGATTTGGTTCCAATATTACAATTTTCGCGGGTGCACGAGCTTTTTACAACTTTAGAAATTGTTTACTAGTGTTTACTAGTCACTGTGCTGATTATCATGTTTGTCTTCACTTTTCCCATGAGAGAAAACTCCTAAGTTGGTAAGTTAAACATAAAATCTATTTGTATATCGTTTCATAAGAAATTTTTACATGCATAATTGTTATCAATTATATGTTTACAAAAATGTTCAATATTCACCTGTTATGGTGTAATTTTTAGTGACATGTTAGAAAGTTCGCATGAAAGATTTATGATTTGATGACTATGTGTAGAAAATTTATGTCATAATAGGTTGATATTTATAATGTGATATTGAAAGTTAAAGATTTGCTGTGATTTTTGCGTGAAATTATTTGGTGCATGTGCACTCTACAATAATCATATATTTTGTTTGAGCATTTTCTAGTAACGGTAATTCATTTGAAACTGTGTGATTTGATACTAATATGAATTTCATATGTGCTAATTTACTAGGGTACATGTGCAATATTTATTGTAAAAATGTTGTTTACAAGAACATAGAGTATTTGTTTAATAATCAGACTGATGTTAATTTGTCAGTCGCAGAGTGTGTGGTTTATGTGTAATATCAAATACTTATATATCTGTTTTCTATGTATTTACAGTAAATCACATCACATCACATCATATCGCTGTCACTGGAAGTAAACAATAAAGGATGTGCATTTACAAGGGAGTTAACTTCTCTGTGAAATTGATGATAGTCAGTACACTTTCAAACATACGTACACACAGACAGACATTCTGACAAAGTGATATGACCTAAAAATCTATCAATTGTTGTCTTGCTCTGAAAAGCAAAGTACTTATGTACAAAATTCGAAAAAAAAAAATATATTGAAAACTTTTTGAGTTGACCTAAAAATCTATTAATTGTTGTCTTGCTCTGAAAAGCAAAGTTCTTATGTACAAAATTTGAAAAAAAAAATATATATTGAAAACTTTTTGAGTTATCACTTGAAAACAAAAGTTTCATGGGTATACATTCAAACATATGTTCAGAAGGACAGACAAAGTGATAAGACCCCATAATCTATAGATGTCTTCCTCATATAGTGAAGTATACTCAAAAGGGGTTATCAAGAAGTTAATGGATTAGTGAGATAAAATTGATTCTATGTAGATTGTGCTTACAAAATTCATAAGAATTTTAAAACAACAAAAAATGAAAAGTTTTGAAATTTATACTTTGATACATAATTATATAATTTTTTAAGTTATCCTCAAATCATTTAATATCTTTATTAGACTGATGAGAAATCGGCATTTCTGATTGGCTGAAAAATGTCTTTGATATCTGCATCAATAAAACTTTCACAAATTAGCCAGAACTACATTTTTTAATGTGCATAATGGCTAGATAGTTTTCGTATGACGTATTTTCCTTCCGAGTTATTTCCCTTGGCCACCATTTTGAGGTCAAATTGGTAAATTATAATCTTTAAGCAACCAATTTTATACATGACTGACAGAAATATACAATAAAAAAATCTTTACAATGTAAAAATTATGAATTAAAGACTAGGCTGTAACAAATGTATATTTGCCAGAAAATTAGTGCTATCTACACCCCAAATCCCCAGTACAGTCCAGCTGAAACGTTCTACTTTACTATTTTTCTGTTCGCTCACCATTCGATCACCGTTTGTTACACCTCTTGTTCAGCGTGTCTTCAGCATGCGCTCACTGTTCACAGTTTTGCGTTCACCATTCAACTACTGCTCGCGTTCACTGTTCACCTTGCGTTCCTCATTCGCTTTGTTCACCGCTCGCCCACTGTTCATTCACTGTTTATTCAGCGTTCACTAATTGTTCAGCTTTCATTTCATTCAGAACTCCAAAGTGAAAGGATCGACTTATAGTGATGATAAAATTTAAAAAAAAAAGTTTTGGCAAAAGTGGAACGAAACTTTCAATTGACATCAGGAATATAAATATTACTAGAAACTCATTGTGAGCAGTTAGATGTCTTCTGTCCGATTTTGAAAATAAAAACATAAATTCAAGCTGAAAAACCGATAAAAAAATTCAGACACTCTGGAGATTTAACCCTGGTCGCCAATGTGCTAACCATTACGCCATTTGGACTCCCGCTTCAAAGTGAAAAATGACGAATATCTAGAGTTTGGATTTATCAATTCAAAAACAAATTAAATATTTAGCATTTTGAAAAGAGGCTCTCTTAACCTTACAAATATTACAGAAAAATATTGAAGTTAAAAATCAATTTTTTAAAATTTGTTTCTGGTAGCGACCAGAAGTAAAGACGACGCATGAAAAAGTCCCTTCGCCCATCTAGAAATCATTGTTCTATCATCTCTAACAAGTCTCTAGTTCATATCTTTAACCTTTCTTTAGAACATCTGCGGACAAAATTTCATTTTAAAATATGAAAATTGTCCATAACTTGGCAATAAAACCGAATTTACCAAAATACAGAATTTTATATAAAATTCACATCAAAACCTTTTATCCCTGAAAATTTCAAAGAAATTCATTAAATAGTTTTTCGAGAAATCGCATGCAAAAAATTTTGTCCGAAAAAAAAGGAATAAAAACTAGAGGAGCTTGATGTAAAGCAACAAATAAGTCTTCCATCTAATTCTCAAGCAGATCAAAATCGAGAGACATCTACGGTCATGTGTGCAAAAATGAGCCATTGATGACTACTTCTGGTATGACAAGAAGTGACGTAATTTTGTCAACTTTTTATGATTTCCTTAGCTGCTATCTGTTATTCTGAACAACTTTCCTTCTTTGATGCTTTACAAATTGTCAATACTTTTTGAGATATAGGGAAAAAAACTTTTGGCCCCTCTAGCTCCTTAATTGAAGGGGCCAGCCCCTTTTTGTTGATATTCTTTGAAAGACTGTGATATTCTGCACAACTTTTGTTTTGTATGTCTTAACAAAATATTGACAGGTAAGAAGATATTGTAGAAAAAGTGCTAGAAATTTGGAAATTCTCCATTTGACTATATTTGGGCCACAGCGAGCATCGTCACTTCATACTTTCAGGGTTAATGATCTACAAAATTCACTTTTCCATAGGTTGCTCTATCATCACTGAAAATTTCAAACTTCAATATTCAGCGGTTTTTGCAAACACTGCCGGACAAAGTGACCCTCTTAAAATCACAAAATTGCGGAAATCTCCGAACCGGAAGTGACGTTAACAAAACAAAAAATATATAACTAGAATTTGTGATATTCCATCAGACCTGAGAGTTTCATGAAAATCCATCAAGCTTTTTCTGTGAACTTGCATGCACGAAATTGGTAAGAAAAAAAGACTAGACGAGCTTATTGCAAAGCAACAAATAAGTCTTCAGTCTAATTCTCAAGCAAATGAGAACAAGATCGAGAGGTATCTACAGTCATGTGTTCAAAACTGAGCTATTTACAACTACTTCTGGTGTGTCCGGAAGTGACGTCATTTTGATGACTTTTTATGATCTCCTTAGCTGCTATCTGTTATTCTGAACAACTTTCCTTCTTTGATGCTTTACAAATTGTCAATACTTTTTGAGATATAGGGAAAAAACTTTTGGCCCCTCTAGCTCCCTGAATGAAGGGGCCAGCCCCTTCTTCTTGATATTCTTTGAAAGATTGTGATATTCTGCACAAATTTTCTTCTGTATGTCTTAACAAAATATTGACAGGTAAGGAGATATTTTAGGAATGACTCTAATTCTTGGCCAAATTATTCGAGGATAACCTGGTTTGGGTCAGTTTACGCTTTATAATCCGTGAAGCGGATTATAAAACAGCGTA